AAGAAGGTGTACATGGCCAGGAGGCACATGGAGGAGAGGAAGTAGAGGGCGATGCAGAGGCTGATGTCCAGGCGGGAGAAGCCCAATCCAAGCACCCGCAGCCAGGGGCTCCTCCGCAGGCCCTCCCCGACATCCCCCTCCTCCTCCCGGAGCACGATGCTGGGTGCCCGCCGGCGCTCCCTGCCCTCGTCCTGGGGCAGGGCGATGGTGTCCCGCTTGCTGATCCTGCGGCGCCGGCCGGACGCGGCCCGCAGGGCCTGGGTCTTGAAGTGCTGGTCGCTGAAGGAGTCCAGGTCCACGATGTCGTCGCCCATCTTGGGGATCAGCCGCACGATGCTGGGGCGCCGCGGCTCCGCCAGGGCCGGCCGCCCCGCAGCCCTCGCCTCGCCCTCCGCCTCCTTGTCCTCCTCTGCCTCTTCTCTCCCCCTCTCCACTCGCGGGCCCTCGGTGCCCAGCCTGGTGTTGGTCCCCTCCCTGGCCCCAGGGACGGGGTCGGGCTCGGCATAGTCCATGTAGATGTTGGCCGGGGAGAAGTGTGCCTTGAGGAAGGCGACCACGGCCGGCTCCTCCCAGGCATGCACCCCCCGCTCCTCCTTGTGGCACTGGGGACACATGTCCGGCGGAGGCCACTGCAGCTTGGGGAACTTGGGGTCCTCTGTGTCACCTCCTGCAGGGACCAGGGCCAGTGAGGGGGTTAGAGGGGACATGTGACACCCTCCCCCTGTACCAGTATAAACACGCTGGAGAGTCCGGCAGCTGGGGAAGGGGACATTTGGAGGAGCCATCCTGGGAGGAGGGGTCCTCCAAGGGCATGTGGCAGCTTTGGGGAGCTCCCTGCAGGGAGCATGTAAGACCCAACTGCATCTCCCGGGCGGTCTGAAGCTGGGTGACCAGCTGCTGTCCCCTGTGATGGGGGACAATGGGATACTCCCACCGCTGCCCCCTGCAGCCATTTGCCAGATCCATCCAGGGGCAGGGATGTTCCTCCCCCTCACCTCCCCTTTTCCATGGGGAAGCCGCTCCGACTCCCCTCCTGGCAGCCCCCCTTACCCGCCAGGCGAGCGTTGACCTCGTTGTGGTGGGACCAGAGCCAGAGCACGGCCTCCTCCCGGCTCGACACCCGCTCCATGGACTTGGCCGCCATGGCCTCGAAGTGCTCGGCGCACTCCTGGCAGCCGAAGAAGTGCCGGACGTAGCAGCGCATGGTGCTCAGCACCTCCAGGGGCAGCTCTGGGGGGAGGCAGAGGACGGAGGGGGGGGAAAGGGAGGGTGAGCCCAAACCCCACAGTGCCACCAACTGCAGTCCCACAGTTGAGGTGGCAACCCCACACTGTGACTCTGTGTCTTTTGTGCCCCCTGCAAACCTGCCTCTGGATGAGATGAAGAAAGGGGGAAACAAGCCTGCACTCAGCCCCCCTGCCCATGCCACAGCCCACCCAGACACACCCTGTCTGAGCCCAGTTCCCCCAGGGATGCCAATACCTTTGTCAGGGCCGTTCTTGGCAGCCTGGACGGTCAGCAGGTGGAATATGGTCCAGAGCCCACAGGGGTAGCCACGGAAGTGGCGTTCACTACCCTGGCAGCCCACCCAGGTCACGTTGGTGGGGAGCACGGCGGGGCTGGAGGCCTGGTGGACAGACAGACAGGTATTGCCAGCTGGGGGACAAGGGGCAGGGGTAATGAGAGCAGGGGCCAGGGTCCCCGTGGGCATCTTACATCTTTGTTATTCTTCATGGCCTCCTTCAAAACATCGCGGGGCAGCTCGGGCTCCGTCCAGTTCCTCAGCCAGCCATCCAGGGTCTGCAGGTAGGTCTGCACGCAGGGGCGCCCGGGGAAGTACTGCAGAGAGGGGAGAGGGCTGAGGAAACACAGACTCCATGCTGGGAGCAGCAGGGCAGCCTGCAGGCACCGCTGGCTCACCAGGACAGGCACTGGGCAGCACCAGCATCCTCTGTGCAGGAGGGCAGCAGCATCCCGGCAAGGTTTTGGTGCCTGTGTCCAAGGGGCTGGGGGCTGTGCCTTGTCCCCCCCATGGCTGGCAAGTCCCCTGTGTGCGTGTTCAGGCTCCAAACCTCAGCCCCAACTGAGGGAGGCAAAAAGCCACTCTGACCATAAGTCTGGCAAAGCCGATTAGCAGCTGCACTTTAAAACCACTCCAGGGAGAGGGGCCAGCCCGTGCCACTGATGGATGGACAGACAGACGGACTGAGGAGCACACAGGAAAAGTGATGGGGAAGTGAAAGAAAGGAGCGTTTTGCTGAATCTGACCTGTTATTTCTGGGCCTGTGGGGAATCACAGTGGAAGACCCAAATTCACAGACTTCATCCGTGACCTGATAGTTCTGCTGCAAAATGCACTGTCACCCCGGCTCCTGGGACAGGAGGAGGCTTTACCATGCAATTCCCTGCTTTCCAGGCTTCTTTCCACTTTAGGATTTTTACCTCTCTCCTTGCCTTTAAATATCTCTTGGGATCGCAACAGTTAAGGCTTGGACCTGCTGGCTGAGCTCCCCCAGGCTGAGCCTGGGCTGGCAGCAATCCTGGGGATGCTGCTCCGTCCTGTGGAGGACTGCAGGAACGGCAGCACTGGCTCAGCATCCTCGGGGAAGCACCGGCACCCACCACCCACCACTACAGCTCATGGAGGGGAAAATTTGCAGGAAGGATTAACAGTGGATCAAATAAAACCACTGCTGCTCCCCACCACCCCAGTCAGGGAGCTGGTGTGATGGAAGTTTGTTTCCCTAACTCTGTGGTTCTCATTAAAGGGAGAAAGAGCAAGGGTGATGGCTGGGGGCAAGCAGAGGAGGAGCCACATGAAGTTCTGAGCTGAGGACTTAAGGCTTGTTGCACCAGTGGCTCATGTTTGGAGCTCTTTCCTGGGGAAGAGCAGACAGGGGTGGGAACAGGGGGTGTCTTGCACAAGTGCAAGGTCCAAACTGAGCATGAGACCCTGTGTGACAAAGGAAGGAGCAAAGAAAGTGGGCATGGCCGGGTGAAGGTCTGCCAAGGAGCCCAGGCTGTGACAGGGATGGGGATGGGGACAGGGCTCCTGCAGACCTAGTGGCAAAACCTCAGCCAAATGCAGCACTCAGTCACAGCAAGGAGCAAAGAAAGTGGGCATGGCCGGGTGAAGAAGGTCTGCCAAGAAGCCCAGGCTGTGACAGGGATGGGGACAGGGCTCCTGCAGACCTAGTGGCAAAACCTCAGCCAAATGCAGCATTCAGTCACAGCAAGAAATTAAACTGCCCTGCCTGTGCTGGCTCAAAGCTCCCACTCACTTCAGCTTCACCAAGCCCAACAGAGAAGGATAAAGGAGACCTTAAATTAGGCTCTTCCAGAGCCTGACTCAGAGCAGGAGTCCCTTTCCTGGACTGTTATCAAAGGAGCCTGCAGAGATCAGCTCCTGGAGCTGAGCATGGAGATCAGAGAGACAAACCC